TTAAGTTTTTGTGTTTTTTGTTTTTGTTTATTTTTATTTTTTATTATTATTGTCTTTCCCTTGTGAAAAGAATACCTAGTCTGTGGATTGCAGACACTGATGCTCTCTGAAATTATTGAATAGCATTAAGAACTATACAGCTTACAAGTCTGATGCAGAGATTAGTGAGAACTCTGAAGGCCTGGATGCTAATGTACCTGCTAAAATCATTTGCTTGCAATTAAAATAAAATAAAGCCATACTCCATAAAGATAGTCCATGAAGATAATCATTTAGGTCTGCTAGTAAAGACTTAGTTGCTAGCTACTGGATTTTGGGAAGTGATTAGATTATGAGAGCTGTGACCACATCAACATATTAGCGTACTGATGGATTCACATTCTGATAATACATTGAGAAGTATCAGGAAGTGGGACTTAATTGAAGGTTTAGAGATGTGTTCATAAGAATACTATATTCTATCTCTTTCTTCCTCATCCTCCTTCTATTCCTCCTCCTCCTTTTTTCCCTACCCCTATTCTCTCTTCCTCCTTCCGGAATTCCCGTAGGTAGGTATCTGCTTTCTTCTGTCTTGAGCTCTTTGCTTTCTGCCATGGTGTTCAATATAAATGATCATGTACAGGAACCATGAACCACAATAAATCTGAGCTCTCAAGTTTATTCTTCTCAGGCCTTTGGTATAATGGACAACACAAGGCATAATTTAACTATACACTTCAAGTATGGAAACTATGGCTTTGGTTTTAACATGCACAGAGAGGTGAAAGTGTGGGTGTGGCTACTGAGCATCCATGTGTATCTTCACCAAGCTACCCTCACAGTCAGCAAAACAACACATAATTAAAAACATGAAATTTAAAATAGCCTTAGGGAAAACATTTATATATTCTTCTTTTTCTTGCTAGTTTTACCCTTGTGATGGTTACTATTGATTGTCAATTTGTCAAGAATCTAGTGTCACTTAAGAGACAAGCCTCCAGGCACACCTATGACAGAAAATAGTTGAGTGTATTTTCTGGGCATAATTGTGAGAGATTATCCTGATCATATTTATTCTTTTGGGAATATCCACTCTAAGGAGGAGCAACATGATTTCAAGGGTTTAAGCAACAGATTGAATATAAAGGTGGAAACTAACTGAGCACAAACATTCATCATTTCTGCTTCTTGATTGCAGATGCAATGTGAACAGTTGTCTCAAGCTCTTGTCAGCAGGATTTCCCACTAAAATGCACTGTGCCCTTAAACTGTGAGCCAAGACAAGGCCTTTCTCCCTGGATCTGCTCTTTTGGGGTATTTGATCACTTTCTGTTTGTCTGGTTGATACTAGCTAATATCCATAAATATTCATTAAGTCAAATTTTACTCTCAGTAGACAAAACAAGTTAAAACCTCTCTGAATGAGGACCTGAGAAAATGGCTCATTGGTTAAAAAGCTTTATGGGCAAGCAAGTTTAAGGACTTGAGTGTACATCCATAGCACCCAAATAAGTGCCAGGGGCCTCAGTGTCTCAGCTGTATCCCCAGCACTGATGGGCACAGAGGGATGTCTAGAGCAAACTCGATAGCTAGACTAGCTGAGTGGACAAGCTCTGTGTTTAAAAAGATCCTGCTTCAATATGTAAAGTGGAGAGCAACCAAGGAAGATACCAATATCAACCTCTAACTATCAAATCTCCCCATCCACATGTGTCCACACCCACGTGAATGCACGCGTGCACAATTACAGATACCACACACATTTGAGGCAATAAATGAATCAGTGATCAAGTAAATAAATTAACTTCTCTATGTTAGGTGCAGCGGCTGCGAAGAACACCAATTGCTTGTAAAAATGAAAAACAGAAAGCATACGTGTTTTCACCCTTAGACACCAGCTTCATTCCTTAGCATGTGATGACTTAGCATTGTGTGAGTAAATACACTTTGACGATTGCAGAACACATGAGAACTCCACTCCACGGCTGGTACCCAGCTCCCGTATCTATTCTGCCTTTCTATTAAACCGTACCTGAATGGTACCAACCAAAATGACAAAAACTGCACCACCCTGGAAATAAATAATAATGATTCTCTTGCTTAGTGCTCTCTCTGGCCCAATGAACTTACATTTGTGCAGGGAGAAAAGGAGTGTTCAGAATGACAAAAAAGCATGCACTTCCCACGCATGTACTGTAGCTGTAGATGTACTACCTCTATGTCTGTGCTGCTGTGCAGAAAGTCAATGGCGGTCTCCTTTTATCAAGCATGCTTCTACAATAATGAGCAGTTACAAAACCTTAAGAAAATGGACAGTGTCTGGACATGCAAACAGAAACCTGAATTCTAGTTGGGATGCCTCTACCTGGATAACTCCGTTGGTCCCTTTGCCTTCTTCCCATTGGAGTCCCTATGGTTCCATAAGTTCTAAAATAAGTAAATCTGTAGTTCTAAATAGTACTTTTAAAGACTATGTTTTAGATTGAATTTCTAAGGGGGAGTCAACTTGGTCTAATTATTGGTTGTGTGGTGCTTTCTTGCCTGACAGACTTACAAAACGCTATTGATAGTGTTCCCAATCTGTCAGATGTTGAAAAGTATTTCCTTCATTCTCTTTCTTTGTCTGTATGTTGAATGACTCTATACAGAGAAGACCAGTCATGATCAAGATTTCTTGGGCCTTCTCAATCCAGATGTCTAGATAATCAAGTGTGAAGGAAATGAGAATTTTGTAGGCACACACACACACACACACAAACACACACACACACACACATCTTGACCATTAATCATGTTTTTGGCAGTTGTGAGAAACACTGCTTGTGTTTAATATACTATGGAGTACTGCTTTTAGATTTTTATGATCTAGTTATATGTTCATTATAATATCTGACAGGAGCCTCCAAAATACAGTTTTAGTAAGAAGTATAGTTTATGACTATATTCTTCTGTGTGTGTGCCTACAAAATTCTCATTTCCTTCTCACTTGATCACAAGGTAAAATTTGAATGACCTAAGTATATATATATTCAATACAGTATCTTATTTGGGTTACATGTTCTAAACCTATCTATACTCGCTTAACTTTCAAGTTTACTTTTCCTCTGACATACTGTCATATATCCTGTCCCTGCTTTCCCAGGACGGCAGGAATTAAAGTAGAAAACCCCTTCTCTTTGGTCCTCTTCTCTGATCAAAGCCTTTCCTACAAACACACATTTCATAAATGGCACCATTATGGGGATTTGGAGAGTTTTATATTATTTTAATGGTGAAGCAAAAATCCCTTTACCAGTAAAATAGAACAAAACCCAGACTTCTATCCAAATAATGTCATCCTAGAATTGAATTATCAATTTCTCTCTCAATCAGTAAATAGATATATTGTATATTGCCTCTGTACCTGGCCAGTCTTTTTAGGCTTGTTACTTGATAACTAACCAAAATAAAGACCTGGTTACAGTCTTAAATTATCTTCCCACCTTGATGGAAATGCTACAGAATAGAGACTTACTTAAATTAAAACAAATAACTCTGTGAAGGTCAATATTTATGCCATGGTGTTAATAAAATTGAAATTACAACTTTATATTCTAATAATGCTCTGAAGTGTAAACATGAAAAAGAGTTCAGAAAAAGAACAGGATGATTAATTTGAACTTTTCATTTTAAAGGACAGAAAATGCTGATTGAACTACAATGTAGACCCCCCCTATGATTTTCATTTATTTGTTTACTAAATTAACTATTCTTTATGAATATATATAATCCACTATTCAACAAAATATACAAGATACAGGTAGAAGTAAGAAGACAATATGTATTAATGCCATCCTGGGCCAGCAGATTATCAAGAGGTGTGACATACGGCATTCTGAACTGGGCAGGGGGTCATTTTCTGTTCTTCAGATGACTGCTTTCAGAGCAACCCCATCTTCCTTGATGGGGGCACTTTAGTCAGAGCAAGCAAAGCCAGTGCAGTTTAAAGATAAAAAACCCAAACAGTCCTGTATCTTTTATTCCCAAATATTATTTTTATAGTTCCTGTGAAACTATTTGTTTGACAATATCTGTGACCTAAAATAATGTCTGTGCACCACAGCACTGGTTTCCAGTTCACCACCTTGTAAATTATAAGGAAGTTTCACCTACTCAAGTGAATAATAGGACTCAACATGAATAAACAACAAAAATGATGAAGATATTGATTTTAATTAAATTAATGCTTCAATGATTATTTCCTGGCTCTTATTCTTTCAATGCTTATTTAAACCGAGCAACTAAAAAAAAACAATATGAAACAATTTCTTAGTAGAAGATTTGGGTGAAACAATAGTTTTTGCATAGTTAAAGCATGGAGATCCCCTGTTTAGAGACAACCACTATAAAGGTATGCTGTGTGTACCTGATTCTTTGTTCTTTTATAGCCAATTGTTTACTGTGAAACACCCTAAACAGATGGTATCTTAAACTCTGGGACACAAGAGGCAACAGAAGAATTTCTTGAGCACTAGGCAGTATTGTGCTATACACTAACATAATTATTCCCCACAAAATAAACAATGCATATATGATTTCTAATACAAATAATTATTGATAATAACTATTGTCTATTAATGAAATATGCAGCTTGAATGAAAAATACATTAACAAAATATTAATCACTAATGCAACAAGATTATGTGTCAATTTGTGCTTCTACCATTGGTTGTAATCATAATATATGAGGTTATTGGGAAATATGATCTTTAAGAAGGCAATTAAATTAAATGAAGTCATTAAGATGGGCATTATTTGAATATGACTGTTGCATATTTGAGAATGGAAAATATGAAGGCAAACAGGAAGAGAGAGCTAGAGACAATGGTACAGAGAAAATCAAATATACAGAGAGGGAGAGAGAGAGAGAGAGAGAGAGAGAGAGAGAGAGAGAGAGAGAGAGAAGCTACATGAGGATAAAAGCAGAATTGGGATGATGCTTTCACAGGTCAGAAAATACAAAGATTCTTTTTTTTTTTCAGAATAAAACTTTCTAATGTGGTATCAGAAGAACATGGGACAGCTGTTCCACACAACCATCAAAAGATCAAATCTTGCCAGCGCCCTGACTCCTGTTCCCCAGCACACTGTGACTCTGTAAATCAACTTGAAGATCTGGCACCCCCATGTGGGTTTTGCCCAACAAATAGCTTCTGTCTACTTGATATATAACTGATTTTTTAATATGAGCGATAATAATAACAGTACTTGTCTTTGAGTAATTACTACACCCCAAGCTCCGTTTTGATTAGTTCTGACCTTATGTTACAACCTCATGGAATGAATGGACAATGGACAATTTTTCAGGCGGATAGAAGAATTGTATTATTTTATTAAGTACCAACAAGAAAAGTTAAGTATATTTTGTTTTTACTCAGGGATTACAGAAATTAATGCATTTATAATCATATTAGCATAGAAATTATTATCTTTAAGAAGTTGCTTTTCTAAAAGCATCAGGACTTTATTTTTAGTATAGATAGCATAGGATAAGGACTGTGTTCCACATACTGGGGATAGGCAATGCCTTCACTAAACATCATTGCTCTTACTTTCCCCTCTGCAGTTCAGAATATTCACCATGGATTTTCTTATTTCCTGATTAGGTGGGTAACATGTCAATGTGGCCTATAAGACACCTGACCTGGAAAAGCTAAACACACCCAGGAGAAAGGACAAACACCGGATCTTGACCTACACGTACCAAATGGGGGCAGGTTGAGTTGTTCCCATTAAGGAACATAAAGGTGTGACTTTATTTGATCCATGACAGGAAGCACACAGCTCTCTTCTTGACCAAAGTATGTATTGTGGCTAGACACTTACTCCACATCTTCCTCTTCCTGGTCACATAAGAAAATTGCAGACCATGTGCTCCTTTGAAGTTGGATTGAGAAGACGTAACAAGAAAATAACCTCCCAGACCCAACTCATCACAATACCACAAAATCTTCTATCCTTGCCTTCTCTTCTGTGACAATTATATACATCTGTCTCCTTCATTTTAGAAAGAAGTATTTATTAAAGGGATGGGTCCTTTGGGGTGGGATACCTTTGAGCCTCAATGACAAGGAGTTAGTAGGTGGAGGAAGGGAGGGCAATGAACTGGTCTTGATAGATGAAAGCATCTTTGAATCCTGAGTCACAAGTTGAGAGATAGCTTTCGGAAAGCCTTCTGGTGTTTCTCATGAGTAAATGGTACACAGATTCTGAAGTGTGTTTGTCACTGCGTTACAGCCAAGTCTACTCCGCCTGAAGTACAGCCCACACCACATCAGTTTCTATTGCCCATGTCCAAAACAGCTTGCAGTCAGGGTGAAAGTATAGGGCGGTTTAGTATGAAACCTAACATTGATTGAAACGCACCAACACCAAGCTTTCCCATAGTAGTAATAGGCTCAGCATGTAGCTTCTCTACATACCAGAGATAACTTTCCTGAAAAGATCAGACAGGAAAGGCTGTAACGTCTATGGTAAGCACTAGTGGATTTTAACGGAGCTTTTATCCTATAAACAGAGGAATTTGAGATTGCACACTTAGATCTCTCTGACGCGGCTGTGTATCCGACTTCTCAGTTTCCACGAGCTTTCTTCTCTCCCAGGATCAGTCTTATCAGATGATCAGTTGTCTGTTTTTCTTCCTAGATTCTGAATGGGATTGATGTACAGACATCAAAAAGACAAAACCACTGAAGGAAATGTACCCTTTTCTTTGTTTTTGGTTTGACGTTGTTGTGTTTTATTTTTTTTCCTACTTTTCTCTATAACACACGAGAGGTAAAAAGCAGAGTTAAAAATATGACAAAGCTAAAACTGGGGATGAGGGTGGCAAATTGTTCACTCCTATTAATATTCACACTACCCGCTAGCTATAGATTTGAGGCACCACTTGCTCACTATTTTCCCTGTGATGTCCTTTTTGTTTTTCCAGATTGATGGTTTTTCTAGATTGACACTGTTTATGTATAATGTTCTTTCTCAAATGCATCACCTTTTCTCTTCTGTTGTGATGTTCTGTATTAAAAATATACTCTTTCTGTTTATGTATTAAATGTACTGTGTGCATGTATTAAAGGTATAATCTCTATTCTGAGATTACAAAAACATAACAATTGTTTATGTAGCCAATTTTAGTATACATTTTATAAATGTAATTTTTTTCTCTCTAGCTAGACTTAACTTTCATATGAACAATAATGTAGAATTATAATTTGATTTTCCCCCCAAAATGGCTGAGTGGTATTTCTGGCAGTATATTTAGTTTTGTCTATTCCCCTGTTATTTCTAGTTAAGTTTCCAATTTCCATTTTTACTTATTATTCCTTTTGCTCTTTTTTCCATTTATTTACTTATTTTGGTTTATTGAGACAAAGTTTCTCTGTGTAAAAGCCCTACCTGTCCTGGAACTAGCACTTGTAAACCAGGCTAGCCTCGAACTCACAGAGATCTGCCTGCCTCTTCCTCCCAAGTGCTGGGATTAAAGGCATGTGTCCCTTACCATCTGACTGAATCTCTATTTTTTATGTCTATTAAAGAATATGTCCTAATGTGTATTTCATTTTTTTTAAATGAAATTAATCCTTCTCTTTTTGGCTACTGGCTTCTCGTCTCCCTTACATGTTGCTGTGTCCCGTGTTGTGTCCTTAGCCATTCTCTTCTGTTTTTTTATAATTCCTGGAAGATCTCTTCTGCTTTCATCATTTCAAACAAGACCCACCTGGACAGGATTTTTAATCCGTATCTCCTGCTGGGCTCTTTCTGATGCTTCCATTTCTTTGTCTCTCACACGTTTGACATAATTTATATCGGGTGCTCCTCTTACATATATGTGAGCAACAGAAACTCATATTCCTGTTAGAGCCTTCCCGTGCCAAATTCCTTTTTCCTTTCTTATTTAGATCATCAGCCATACTGTCCACCTCACTGCTAAATGCTAGGCAATTCCAAATCATAAATAGTAAATTCCAACTCATAAATAGTAGTTTGCATTACCATAATTCCTTGATGAATCTACCTAAGAAGAATTCCTCAACTGCACACGCTACTGGCTTCTCATAATTCAGTACTGTTGTCTACTATAGACGTGGACATCAATGTTTGTGGGTTAGCTTTAGCATCTCCTATCTAACACACCCATCCTTCATGTGATTCTATGGAGCTTAATTTAAAGTGGAGATCTGATTATACCCCAACTGCTCTTAAAGCACTATGTCGGACTACACTGCCGAATCCCTATGTGGACACCATCACCCAAGTCCTTGGCCTTACCTTCCTAGTCTTCTCATAGGCTAGAAACCTGGTTGTGTGACTCATCGGGTGGCTTCTCGCATGCTAAACGTGCTTGCCTGTCGTTCTTTCAAATGTTTGCTTCCATTATTAATCCACTTCATGTAACTGAGCATACATTTTATAACTTGCCCAAATACATATCTTTCTAGCGGTCTCTTATTTTCTCTCCATGAAACATTCTGTTCATTCAGTTTTTTTTTCTTGTTCATGGATGTATCCACACAACCTATCAAAGAACACAACATACAAGTTCTAAAATAGTGGAAACTCTCTAGTAATGCGTTTTCTTTTCAAATGTAACAGAATCTGTTTAATTTGACATATCTAAATCAATATTTTCAACAGATTACTGTGTGTGTGTGTGAGTGTGTGTGTGTGTGTGAGAGAGAGAGAGACAGAGACACAGAGAGACAGAGAGACAGAGACACAGAGAGACAGAGAGAGAGAGAGACAGAGAGAGACAGAGAGAGAGAGACAGAGAGAGAGAGAGAGAGCAGGAATGGGATATGATACACAATGTATGTATCTGTCTCTCTTTATCTGTGTGTAGGCCAGAGGTGAACTTTGAGTGTTTCCTACTATCACTCTCTACTCACTCACTCATTCAGTAATTAATGAATCAATTGCTCTATTAATTAATTAATTAATTAATTAATTTGTTTGTTATCTATAGAAGGTCTCTTACTGAAGCTGGAACTTGCACTGTGGGCTGGACTGGCTGGCCAGTGAACGCCAGGAATTTTGTAGCTCCTGTTCCATCTGCATTAAGGTGACAGCGGTGTGCTAACAACCTGCCTGGCTTTTATGTAGATTCTGGATATTGGTATTGAGGTTTTTGTGCTTAGACACAAGCACTTACCCATCAAGACATCTCAGCACCCCTGCTTCTAGATCTCCCACAATATGAGATGAGAGGCTCAGTTTCTTCTCTGTACCTTTCTGCAACAAAATGTGATGGTCAGGTGAATTCCCCAAAGATGAGGATGAATACTTTAAAGAACTGACCTAGCTGTATACTGACTGGGGAACTACCCGGGGGTCGGTCTGTCATCTCTATCATTAGCAGTCGCATTATTAGCAGTCTGAGTTATAAAACTAATTATGATTGTGTCATCCTATCCATGCAGAGTAAACTAATTGTCACCTTTTCAGTGATGTCATCCAGCCCAAGCAATTCAGACTGGAAACCTCTGCCTACGCCGATTCCCACATTCTGCTGCATCCTTTTCTTTATTTAAAAAATAGGCATCGTGTTGTAGTACAGTGTGTTTTTAGTTATTTGATCACTCTCACTACTTTCTCTGTTTACTTAGCACAGCACACCATTTCCCCACTCATTTACAGCTGTCTGTGCCCATATATTTAAGGTGCCCTGTCACTCATAGATAGCCTGCAGAGAAGTTGTGTTTTACTTCACCATAAAAATTCTCACTTCTTCATGAAGAGCTTACTGCATTAAAATTTGCTATACTTATTAATTGCAATGTGGTTGGATTTAGGGCGATTATTTCACTATATGTCTTTTTGTTTTATTATTACTCTCTTTTGTCTCTTTTTATATTTTAGAATATGTTTGAGAATTCTATTTTGATTCATGCATTGATGTTTGCAATGACTACTGTTGATTGACAACTTGACAGACCCTAAAATCACTTGAGAGATTGCCTCTGTGTGTGCCTATGGGGAGTTATCTCGATTTTCCTAATTGACGTGGGAAGACCCGTGTGCTGTGGATGGCAACATTCCCTAACTGGGATCCTGCACTGTGTGAATGGAGAGAGACAATTGAGCATATTCATGTGCTCGTTGCTCTAGAGATGATATGCACAGCTGCTTCTAGCCACCATGATGTACCTTGAACTGTGAGCCAAGTACACCCTTCTCCATCAAAGTTGCCTTACTCAGAGCATTTTATCACTGCACCAGGAGAAGAAACTAAGATTGCTTTACTGCAGTTTTTGCATTTACAAGGTATTCGTGTTGACTATAGATCATTGATAGTGATCCATTCAGAATCTCTCTAGAGATCTGACCATATACATTTAGAGTCCATATACTATTCAGAAACCTTGGATTTGCATAGGCCTGTTAAATAGTCACCTCATTCATGTAAAAATTTAATATCTGTGGTGGTTTGAAGAAGAATGTTTTCAAAAGACTCATGTGTTTGAATGCCTAGTCATCAAGGAGTGGCAATATTTGGGAGGGATTAGAAGGTGTGGTCTTGTTAGAGAAAGTGTGTCACAGGGAGTGGGCTATGGGGTTTCAGAAGCCCAGGCCAGCTCCAGTGGCCCTCTCTCTCCCTGCTGACTATAAATCTAGATGTATAAGTGGAACACTCAGCTACTTCTCCAGTACCGTATCTGCCTGCACAACACCATGCTCCCCGCCATGATGAAAATAAAATCAACTTCTGACACTGTAAGCAAGCCCCAATTAAATGCTTATATTTTTTGCTTGTTCTATTTATTGCATGGTCATGGCATCTTTTCACAGCAATAGAAATACTGACCAAGACAATATCACTATGATAAAACTGCTATATTTAAAATATAGGGATACATAATAACCCCTGGTGTTCTATACTTGGTGATAAGCAGTATGGCATATTTCCACACAAATTAAATGGAAAATAAATATATCGTGAATTTCCATATATTTCTCATTCTCTTGCTCTTCATTCCTGTTCCACATCAAGTTTTCTTCTTAGGTGGTCTGTTTAAACCAAACAATATCCTCAAGCCTTTCTAATAGTGCTGATGGACCAGA